CAACAGGATTTGAACCCAGATTGCAGTAATGCAGCGTATGTCGACACATTAACCGCTACACAACAACGTCACAAGTGCCCTCGGGTCACATGGCAGATGTGAGCTTAAAGGAAAGACAGGCATTTTCGCATATTACACTCTGTGGTGGGATTGTAGATGACGCAAAATTATATTTGCTATAGCAATCGATTACATTACTTATTTTTCGTTTATAATGAGTCTTCGGGAACACCAGTAGATCTAAAATAGGAACTACATCCATCATGTTTTATCTGAGGTGATTATGGACATTTCTAACATTGATATGAGTAGGCCTCATGCTTTCATTGTGGGAGAAGTAAGCTCATCAATTATAAATTATGAGACTCCTCGAGACCCAACTTTTCTTCGCATATGTTTCTCTAGTACCAGCCTTCATTCTGTCTGCTTTGAAGGGACCGGAAGTTCAATATGACCCTGAAACATGATCATCCCATGGCGTGCCAGACTCTAAATGTGCATATCCCTCAATATTTCTATGCTTGGCTGGAGGCTTGAATACGGAATACTTTCTTGGCAGAGATTCATATAAATATTAAAACTTCTTATTTAGACCAGAAATGAAAAGTTTTTGATAACATCATTGGATTTGGTATCTACTTTCTACCCCTTCGGATGGCTACAGCTGTGATGACGATGGCGGATGAACAGTTAAACTATGCCGACGGATCGCGCTGTCCATCAATGTCTATGCTGGTGCCGACTGACGGTGAGCCTTCGCTTAGGCCCAATCGACCAGCTCGAAATGCTGCTCAGATCTCATACAACTCGAGCTCAGGTAGGCAACCATATCAGATACCAGCAAGTTGCATGGCTTAATCTAGTCGTAAGCGAAATTGCAAAAAATAAGCGCACTCCACTAGTCATTAATTGGCATTTAGGCAGTCAGGAACTATTAGCCATCTGATGGCGACCGATTTTAAGACTGCAGAATTGCTATCAGAAAGAGATGAGCATATTCTTTAGGACCAATGGCCAACTCAAGCTCTAACCGTTTCCCGGTAGACAATGTGTTTGGCTCAAAAATAACTTTGATGAGCATCGGCGTTTGGAGTAGCGTAGGGACCGATAAATTGTCGGAAATATCCAAATGTGTCAGCTTGGCTGGTCCGACCTGCCGTATCATGATGGTGAAAGGCGCAGAAATGCAACCAAATAAAAAAAACTGAGAAACTAACGATAGGTATTTGAAGAATATCGCAAAGCAATCATGAACCAAGAGGTATTTGATGGCGAAGACTAATTTGTTTTATTTCTCTTCATTCAGGCAATGTTCAAATCGGGTATAACAATTCTGGATATATGCAAGAGCAAACTGACAGAAGGTGTTGACCGCGAAGGCCAGTTGTTTAATTGTCTTATTCTGACTGACTATTATCCCCGACTTCATTCGACCCACTACAGATTCCTCCCCCAAAGTATCCACGCCGCCTTACTATTTCACCCTAACCATGGTGCCACTCCCAATTACTCAGGAAACTAATTTGGTTCCCCAAATACTCCATCAGATAGTCAAATTATCTTTTGAATAGACTGTACTATGATTTACGTCTTTTTTGTACTACAACATATCCAGGCCCAAGTCCTTTTTAACCCATACCCGCTATATTATATTCGCTTACGGTCCCGTGGCCGTGACTAATACACGAAGTTATAGTCGACTAGTAAAAGAATTTTCACTTATGACTCCCTATTTTGATCATCTAGGATTATCCACTTTTGTAACACCTTTAATGTTTATGGAGCGAAATGCCTTTAGGTCTAATGTCGTTGACTGTTTTATGAAATAATTCGCCAGCTCTGAAGGTGTACAAAATGTATCCTCTCATATCCTGCCAAATGCAACAGTATTAGCATTCTAAGTTGAACAGTAATAGTAAGCTCAACTCGGCAATGAAAAGTACCCAGATGATATTTTCGAAAACATGATTATACAACAAATGTGAAAGCCTGACTTACTAAGCGTATTTGATCGAGTCTATGCAGTTCTCTATCTTTATCCAGTAAAATAAATATAGGAGCAAACGTGCGTAAGAAAGGGGAGGCTTTATGCGTGAAGTGACGAGAAAGTGATGACTGTCAAGCTAAATTTAGAGGAAGTCTAGTGGACTGCGTCAACATGAATATCGTATAAAGGCCAAACGGCTGCAGTACAACGAGATTCATCAGTCCTTATCTGGTAAGATCGACAAAGGAATCTCTTCTTCATTCACTTTCATACGAACTGAAAGACCCCCTAACAATGTTATCAAAAGAGATTCATCGAAATCCAGTTTCTTTTCGTATCTACAATGTACGTACGGTTCGAGTCCTTGTCATTTGTCTTCTCGCTACACTATAATCAAGTAAACTATATCTCGACAAGTTAATAAAATTAGATTTTTTAAAATTTGTATTTCTCATTATGTTGTTCCTGTGTTGTTTACTCGGTAGACGTTATAATCTGCCGACATCCACAAACATAAAACTTGATCAGGTATCGAATGGTTTAGTTAAAACTAGGAACAAAGAGAGCACAAACTAATTAGAACCAAAACTAAACTTAGGCAATCCCTCTTTGAACTATTGAATTATGTGGATTTCATTAAGTTACAAGACATGGCTGACGGGTTAGGAGAGGCGATTGGCAGAACTACGCGTCGGATACATGATACGAAGCTCCGGAATTTAGGAATTGGAATAAGGTCGAGAAACTTTGCACCTAAGAAAAATCTCACTAACCATGTTTGTAACAAAGTGGGGAAGGATAAGATAATCAATTTATCCAGTTC